CACACACCCTTTTTCTGCTCGAGCTGCATGTTCCAGACGTGCTGGAAAATCCGTGTGTTTACAAGGACCAACGGGATGCAACGACCTCAGGATGTCTTAACCCTGAGGTGAAAAGTAAATTATCATGCTGACGTGCCGCTGAATGTTTTCTGCTCCTAAAATAACATTAAATGTCAGTTTCATCATCTCGTGACCATAAATGCGTCACTACAGCGCGGTAGGTGGTTAAATATATAAAAAGAAAAACACTATTTACACCCTGCTGCTTCTTTGGGGTCAATCATAAAATTGTAATTTGCTCGTGTGTGCTCAGGATTTCCCAAATTATTTCTGTGGATTAAAAAAATGTTGCTGTACAAGTTTCTCACCTCTCTTGCGATAGGCCGACTAGACTCCGCCCATCAACACTCAACAACTGGTCACCTGCCGCCAAACGACCATCCTGTGTAAACACAAACAGACGCACACTCACACATATTGATCACATCCTGATTCTTTCTCCTGTTTTCCGTCGTAGTTTTCATACTGACCATATCAGCTGCTCCGCCTTTGACAACAGACTTGATATAGATGCCCAGCTTCTCCTGACCAGCACCCTGCAGAGAAAAACCAAACACAGTAAGTATAATGTTCATAAACCTGCGGGTGAAAAAGCGAATGGTTTTCATAAGTGCTTCAGTTTTTATCGAGTAACTCGATTCATTCCTAACACAAAAAGCAGACACATACAATTACCACAATTATTTACTGTAAGTAGGGAAGCACTTTGAATGCTCAAACTGAGTAGAAAGGCCCTATACGAGTACCGGTACATTTATAATTTTCATTTCATCCGATAATGGTTATAAGTTATGACTGGATCGGGTGATCCTGAACTCATTTGAGCTGCTACAGGCTCAGGCTGGGAGAAGATGCATTTAAGTGCCACCACAACATGTTATTAACCTGGGGTCACAGCACATGGCTGCATCTCTCTGAGCCTGATTCCTTTTAAAATAGAGTTTTTCCTTCCCACTGTTACCAAGTGCTTGCTTAATTGTTGGGATTTTCTGTCTAATACTCAGGAGTCCATGCACTGCAACAAAAAAACAAAAAAAAACAAAACAAAAAAAACAACAAAAAACCTTAAGGCAGGGGTCGGCAACCTGCGGCTCTTTAGTCCTTATACTGCGGCTCCGCAGTATGTAGCTGAAGTGTATTTTATTTATGTTAGTTCTTTTTTTAACTTGTAGTTCTAAATTGGAAGATTATTTTGATATTGAAATATAAAAATAAAATTATATTTTATTATTTTTTCATCGCTCAAAATAAGCGTCACACTCGCAGAAGCCGGTGTAACCGCAGCAACGCCGTGCATATATCAAGACTTTCAGCCCCAGATGGGCCAATTATGGATCTTTGTATCCACATTATGTCAGCAGCTGTTCTCCACCGTGAACTATGTTAAAAACAAACACCGCTCACGCCTCACAGATGACAGCTTACAGTCCTGCGTAAAGATGAAGTGACTTCGTACAGCCCTGATTTGCAGACGCTGTGCGCAGAGGTTCAGGAGCAGAAGTCCCATTGTAAACATATCACGGCAGACCCGACGCTGTTTGCATGAACATGCTTTTCACACACAGTTGCTGTACGCATACAGCCGGCTGTAGCTTTGCAGCTCACAGCCCGACACACGCCAACACAACAGCAGAGAGAGCACAGACGTTAAGGCGGCGAGCCGTGATTGCGGGTGCAGCTCAGGTAAAATATAATTTTCTCTGTAGCACTTCATGGGTTTCATAAGCAACACACCTTAGTTGTTCACACAAAGCATCAAGGTAAAAAACAATAATTACAGTGTTATCTTCATTTTAGATGTCAAAAAGTATTTGCAGCTCCCAGTGTTTTCTTTTGCGTGGAAACCGGGTCCAAGTGGCTCTTTGGGTGTTAAAGGTTGCTGACCCCTGCCTTAAGGTGACTTTTGTTGTAAACTGGAGCTACATAAAGTAAATAAAACTGAAGAAGAAGAAGACAGTTTCATTCTCATGATGAATTCTAGACGATCAGATGCTCCCTTGATGTTGTAGCATGAGGGATAAGAATGCAAACATCTCAAGTGGTTAAAACATTTGCACAGAGCTGTACTTAATCTCATAAGTGTGTCTCCGTCCTGCCTTTTTTCAACCTGCCTATCTTAGCCAAGAAAGTCAGGGAATTAAAACATCCATCTCAAGAAGGAACTGTTATACAGTCCAATCCTAATGTGTTGAGACAGAAACGGTGACTGAAGGTCTGGACCTGGTAGGAGTCCAGGATCAGCAGGTTTTTATTAAACACACATTTAGATCTACAAGTTGATGCTGAACAGAACCAGGCTGGATTACAAAGCTGTCATTTCCTGAACTATAGCAAGTTCACTCACATGTCAAACTGAAACTCTTCAAGACATTTACTGCAGTCAAACACACTCAAAGGCTTTGCTGTACGCCTGTAATATTTACAGCAAAAACAATCACATCTCTCCACAGGATTCAGCACAGATTAAGTTTGTGTCAAAACATTTTCTTTAAGTCAAATCTTTTCTTTACAAAGCATAGCAACAAAGATTTTTTTTCCAAAACGAAAGAAGGGGAGGACAAACACGTGCTAGTGTCAGTGTGCTCACAAAGCCCAGAGCTCCTGTCGACGCGTTCTGACTGTATGTGTAGTTTTCCTGTGAAGTGGAGAGCGCTGGCTTACTATCAAACGCTATCACACGCTTTCTTTACCATCAACGCATGTTTATCCTTGGAGTTTGTGCAACTGTTGAACCAGAAACCATAAAAATATCTCAGCAGTCTTTCTTTGTAGAGATCGTGCTGTGCAAAGTATGAAACTATTTTCCACCGCCAGCACTTCAGGATTTTCTTAAGTGAGGATAAATTAAGAAATGTTCTCTTTTTCTTTTAAGAAGCAAAGAAAACATATCTGACAATCTTGCTGATAAAAGACTGGAGACAAGTCTTCATACTTTCAAGCCAGTTTAAGAAAATACAGCTTAAAGGCGACCCAAAACATCACAAGAAAGGTTCAAACGCACAACCTCCACATTAAGAATCACAGCACGACTATAAAGTCACTCATAAAACTGTGAAGTGGGTTAAAAAGACTTCTAATTGCTGCCATTTGTCAGACCTGGCAACGTGGCAGTGTGTCTGTGTAAAGCCACGTCTTATGAAAAAAACAAAACAAAAAAAACAAAACAGGGGTTGCACTCAGGTTAACAGCTCTCACTGATAGCAGGTCACTTTTATGAACTGATTCATGAGCTGTGGTTTAGAAGACAAAGACTGCAGAACAAACCACAAACACCTGGAGGAATGGAGACATTCCAACGCTCAAGTTTACCCTAAAATCAAAGGTTAATGTGTTTTCCCTCTGGCCTGTAGTGCTATTCACCCATTTAGGGCTGCACATCACCAGCCCATCTTGGCCTTCGATGAATTAGCACTCAGGTTTGTTGCAGGCTATGGTGACATTATCCTCTGTTGCATGCACAGACACACAAGTACTGATTTTGCTAGACTGCACTAAAGTTGAGGACTGGAGAACCCCGCCGTTAATCTCAACATAATTCTGCTCGGTCTTTTCAATTTTAGCTCTTCATAAGCTCAACGGTGCGGCTCTCCACAACAGTCCCAGTTTCTCATGTAGAAACTTAGGATTTTAATGGCCCATCAATGCCGCAAGGAGCGTAAGGAGATGAAATCAAGCCCTCACATCTCTACTGTTGCCATCAGAGAGAAACCAAAGCAGCCACAATGACTGCAAAACTCACAAGTCAGAGAATGAATTTGAAAAATAAAGCAAAAACAAATTTTTATTTTGCTATTTATCTGGTTTTTCTGAGGTCAGGGCTTTGCACACTGGATAAACAGGCCAGAAAAAAAGGAAATTTAATTAACTCTTTAAGCAGCAAATTGAAAATTTCTTACTTTACCATTGCCTCAATGATTACCATAAGTAGCTCATATTTCCTCGAAATTTAGCAGGTCAACCAGAGCGCCTGTTACTGAGACGTTTGTTGACTATAAATGATTTCCTGCAGAAGGAAACAACTGAGTATGTGGAGACATAAAAAATGAAATGTAGCTGCTTTTAAGTAACAAAGGCCTTTGTGTTGCCCCGTCTTCTAAATGAGAGGAATGTATGCCAGAGCTTTCACATATTTTGCCCAAATGTGTGTGGACTGTGGATGAAAGCCTGTTATTGAAGTCTAGAGCTTATGCATGACAATTACTAGTATATTTTAAAAGTGCATAATTTTCCCTATTTTTACTCCAATGACTAGCTCATTTAAATATGCACTTAACATTGAGTGAACATTGTGTTCTTGTTTCTCCAGCGCAGACCCTCAGGCCTTGAAGCCATTTGAGCCACAAGGTTTCAGCTCTCTGTGTGTGTGTGTGTGTGTGTGTGTGTGTGTGTGTGTGTGTGTGTGTGTGTGTGTGTGTGTGTGTGTGTGTGTGTGTGTGTGTGTGTGTGAGAGAGAGAGATAATGAGGCTGCATTCATGCAGGCACGAATTTCCTGTGACTGACATTAAGATGAGAGGAGGACAGTGAATCATTCTGACTGTCTCATGTCTGTTATACATTACAGGCGACATTAAAAGAGCGTCTGTTTCAGACGGAGCCAGGCCCTCATGCACTGATCCAGAATGAGGCCCAGAGACACTTGCGGGAATTCCCTAGATCCCTGGAGGATATCATGGGTTGTTTTTTTGTTTTTTTTAAGGAAAGATAAGAGGATCCTACAGCGGGGCTCAGAAGGGCAGCATCGGCATCAGCTCGTGTCTGATGACTCCAACTGACTACAGCAGCACGTACAGGACGCAGCACACAGACTGAGGAAGTAGTTAAGGTACAGCAGCTGAGATGTGCTACTGTGGAAGTCGATGTGTAAAGGTCAGAGATCAACTGACGAGTTGCAATGAGTGGAGGTGCAGACATTCACAAGAATGGCAGAGGCAGAAACATTATTCACTGCAAATGTTATATTTACACTTTTATTGATGTTTATTTATAAAGCACTTTTAAAAGCAGAGCAGTTATGGACCTGGGTCGCTCCACTTGGAACTGTTTGCAATGCCCACCTGCTGCCATACTTAATCGGTCTGGTCCCAGAATATAACCAGTTGGCAACCAGTTAGGTTGAGTCTCCCATTGCAAAGCGAGGTACTTTATTATTATTATTATTATTATTATTGTTGGCACTTATCTGCAAACCTGTGCGAAGGGGGATTACAGAGGGATTACACGCCAACTCAGACCCTGTTTGTTTGGAGACAGGTGTCCTGGGCCTTGTCACTGAATGTTGCAGCCCAGGGTTGAGTGCACAACACCCGCAAGCTCTAAGTAACCTCTTGGTCACCACAACTACCTACAATCAGTCTCAAAATGTAAAAGACTATAATGAGGATGCCATCATTTTTACTGTAGTGTGACAAACACTAAGTGCTGTCTGCTAGGAAGGCCACTTCCTATGTCATTTTTGTTTTAGTAGGTGGGCCAGTAAGCACTGGATTTCATTTTTTCAAAAATATTGTTCTTAATGACAACAGCACACGTTAGCTA